GGGTAAGACTAACACAGGGGGTGTGAGGAGAACACATAGAGGGAGGAGTGAGAAGAACACAGGGAGGGTGGAGGGGGGGATGAGAAGAGCACAGGGAGGGTGGGTGAGTGTGAGAAGAGACCGCTAGGGGAGGGTGGGGAGAGGAGAGACCACTAAGGTGCAGGGGAGAGCTCTACGGGACAGAAGGGGCAGCTCTATAGGACAGGGGCCAAGACAGGGAGCTCTTTCACACTACGCGCGCGCACACACACACAATGCATCCTTATACATACACAGAAACACAACATGCTTCCCTTACACACAGAGAAACACACAATGCATCCATTACACACACACACACAATGCAACCCTTACACATAAAGACAATGCATCCTTTGCACACATACACAGAAACAGACAATGCAAACCCGTACACACACATGCAAAACACACACTTCTTTTCTTACATACACACAGAAACACAATGTATCTCTTACACTCAATGCACACACATACAGACACACACCTTGCATCCCTTATGCATACAAACACAGATTCACACAATGCATCCCTTACACACAACCAGAAACACATAATACATCCCTTATACACAAATACACACTGCTTCCACTACACACAAACACACTACATCACCTGCACAAACTGGTAACCCCATACACTACATACCATAAGCACACATATTAGATCCTCTACAATAACACATAACACATCCCCTACACACTCCACTCCCTGTGAGCGAACTCATGGGTGGGTGGAACTTATGAGTGGGCCTTATGGGCATACTCACCGTCAGGCCCCGGGGCCCAGACCTTGAGCTGTGTAAGGGGCCCCAAAAAATGGAGCTGCTTCCAATTCTCCCAGAACATTGAATTTTGTGACCACAGCTGCAAACAGCCTCCAGAGATCCTGTTCTACACCAGACCAGTGGAGCCAAACTGCAGCCCATCATCATCATCCTCATCTGCTTGTAAGTAGGCAATCTAGTATATTATTAGTGACACTAATCTATAATTTACCTCACATTAAAGGGACACTATAGCTTAATGAAGTGGTTCTGGTGTCTATAGCTGGTCCCTGCAGGCTTTTTAATGTAAACACACACTGTGTGCAGCACCGGCGTTAGTTCATATGGCAGATCATACGGGTGGGGCATTGTGATGTCACATGGGGGGGCAGCAAATTTTTATTTTGTCTAGGGCGGCAAAAATCCTTGCACCGGCTCTGATCCTGGGCAGGTGCACCAGTCTACTGGTGACCCACAGCAGGGGAGTGCACTGATTGCACTGCACTCTCCTCCTGCCCAGCCCCATCTTTACCGCAGTGCAAGTGCCCTCTGCCCTTAATTTACAGTGGCTCACTGGGGAGGGAGAGAGATGGGGAGGAAGGGGTGAGACACAGGGAAAGGAGGGGGAGATAGATGGGGAGGAGGGGGGAGAGACACAGGGAAAGGGGGAGGAGAGAGATGGGGAGAGACACAGGGAAAGGGGGGAGGGAGAGAGATGGGGAGGAAGAGACACAGGGAATGGGGGTGAAAGAGGCAGAGGGGGAAGAGAGAGACAAAGAGGGAGAAATGAGAGAGAGACACACAAGGGGAGGGGAAGAAAGAGGCAGAGGGGGAAGAGAGAGACTGGGAAGGAGAGGGGAGACATTGACACAGAGGAGCAGTGAGGGGGAGAAAGAAACATACAGAGTGACTGGGGAGACAAAAAGGCACACAGAGGGGCTGGAGATAAAGAGACACACATAGGGGCAGTATATATCACAAAGCCCCCAAGGCCTTCCCCTGCCGGCCGATCTCCCTCCCCGTTCCACAGGCACTGTGCAGCCAGTCGGCAGGGGAGGAAGAGAGGACCTGGGGCAACGCTCCGGCTCTCACGAGGGTGAACTCTAGCCCTGGAGCTACGGGCTAGAGTTCACTCTCACCACTTCCTGGTGGTCCCAGTAGTAGGAGTGAACTCTAGCCCCATACACACACTGCCCCATACACACACCATACACATTCACACACTGCCCCCCACACACACACACACCATACACATTTACACACTGCCCACCCACACACTGAACCTTTCACACACATTGCACCACTGCTCCTATACCCTACTACAGCCCCATATCCCAGCAGACTCCAGGTAAGGTGTCAAACTGTTCTTAAACGGTTTGACGACTTACTCTGGGAGGTGGTGCCGACGCTCCTGGCACCATAACCACTACACAGAGGAGTAGTGGTTATTGTGCATGGAATATTTCTTTAAATAATCTACAAGTGCCCCTCTCAGGCTGAGGCTCTGGATCCGCCATTAGTATATGACATGTATATTAATGTGTGTATTAGTTTTATATCTCTATTATATTTACACATATTAATGTACATTTATAAATGCATAATACACAGAGAAATTTCATTAATATGTACCATATGTAATGAGCAGATATTGGCCCAGTCTTGTTACTAGGTGCATACTCCAGCACAATAACATATTTAAAGTGAAGAGCACACCCACAGGACTTCAAAATAAACATTTTTTCAGTTGTGCCCTACATACATTCACCATTTCAGTCCCATTAACAAGCTTTCCTTAATATGTCAAGGTAGTTGGACTGAAACATTGATTACATACAAAGGCACGTCTGCTTAAAATAAATCTGCACTTTTGTTTATTTTGAAGCCTATGAGTGCTCTTTTTACGTTGAAGTACTTTTTAATTTTAAGTTATCTGTTCTAACTCTGTATCTGCACACTATGCTGGCGCGATGCATTATGGGGCTGGTAAATATTTTTTTTCCAGGGCTGCTTTTAATTCCCAGTCCGGCCCTGTGTATATTCCTTCCATTTTGAAATGATAATATACTATAAACTGATTTAAGTTTCTTAAATTGATGATGGGGCGAAGTTCGTTGGATTTCTTCCGGACCAGGAAAATGTTGCTAAGAAACCTGATTGTGGGAATGGAGAATGTTCGATTGCACCCTTGTCTCTGAGTGTAAAATGGCTGTGTCTGATTGGGACATCCTTAGAGGGTGAGGAGGAAACTCTTGTAGTGGGTCTGAGATGAAATATATGTGAAACCCTGAAACAGTTTGAAGGATCTAAGGATCCTGAGTGAGTAGAGATCACTATGGGAAAAAATGGGTTAGACGGCCTGCAATAGGTATTAGAAAATAAGGTAGGTTGGATACCTGCAGCAGTGCGGCCCCTGATTCCAAGGTTCAGTGGCACGAGGCCTATAGTCTGTGAAGGCAGTCCTGCCGGTAGCTCGGCCTCTATGGCAACTGCCCCTGCCAGAAAAATGAAGAGAGCGGATTACACACAGGCATGTTTGAGCTTTATTAAGAAAGGTGAAAACAGAAACATGTCTGTTGAGGTCTCTCATGAATTGATCACCAAACAATAGGCCATTAGCTCCTGGACCGAGTTCTTTAGAAATCAAATCTGCCAATTTTGCGTCAATCTTGGATAAGACAACTTTGCGTCGTTCAGTTGAAATGGCTACATTAGCATTGCCAAGTAAACATAAGGCCCTCTGTGCCCATTCTCGTACCAAATGTGGATCCAAGGTACCGTCTGCTATAGTTTCATCAGCAAGAATAAAGATTTTATAATGGGGCCAGCGATGTCATGCAACTTGTCCTGAAGTGCTTTTAGACCCTGTTCAAGGCCTTTGCAGGGGTTTTTACCCGACTTGCTTAGAAAGGTGATTAGGAGAGGGTCAAATTCAGGCGTGAGTGCCATCTTGTCAGGTATGGTTGGAAGTGGACATTCTGCTATCATCTTATTCAGAATCTCCTTTTCAAGAGGCTTGCAGAGCCACATTCTGCAGAATTGGGCTATATGGTCTGATGGGACCAACTCAGCCGAGCAGGGATGTTTAATGATTCTGGGAAAGACTAAGGCTTGGCCACTAAGGTAGATTGATCATGTAGCCCCATGTAGCCAAAGCACAGCTAAGCGAAAAAGGGCCTTGACAGGGGTTAGGAGGCAGGCATAGGAGGAGGGAAGGAAGTATGGAGTTATGGGTAAGTAGGCTGGGCTATTTAAATAGGCAGCCATTTTAACTGAGATCACTTCTAATTTCCTACCTGACCAAGTTTGCGTGCACTTCTGTGTGTGCAGATTGGGTTAGGTAGGGCCTTTTTACCTTCTTGTCGTTTCTGCAGGGCTATGGACGAAGTGGAGAGGCTGCTGGAGGTGATCCGGTCAGTGGCGCGAGGTCATGGAGCGGATTGGTTGCGGGCCCAACTCGGACCGGCCCTGGCGGGAATGGCGGCCCAGGAGGGCGCACAGGATCGTCCGGTGCGGGCCAGGAGGCCGCCGCGGAGGCTGAGCCCGGGCGTGGGGCCCGGTGAAGCTGGAGCCAGCGGGCGCATGGCGGCGGGAGGAGGCTGCAGCAGGCCCGGTAGCAGCGCGGTCGAGGCCCCGCCTCCCAGCGCGCTACCGGGGCCTTGGGGACATGCTACGCGGCGGGCGGCTGCCTGTGACGGCAGCGGTCCGGCTCCCAGGTCGGAGGGGGCCGTGCCAGGAGCGGGGGCCGCGGCACCGACCGGGCCCCCTGGAGTGATGGACCACGTGGGGCCGCGGCCCAGGAGGACGACCAGGAGGAAGCCGTCCGGCAGGCCCCAGGACAGACAGGCAAGTGCAGGGGGCCCCGCCAGGGGCTCTCTTGGCGTGCTGGGTGCTGGGAAGGAGTTGCCTGGGGGTAGTGGAGACGGAGGGACGGGGGGTACTAGGCCGGCCACTCCAGGGTTACAAGGGGAAAGGAGGGGGGTCGTTGGAGGTGCCCAGGTTAGTTCAGTGGTGCTGGGGAAGGGGCGGGTAGTGAGGGGGAAGAGGTCAGGGGCGCCTAAGGGGTCCCTCAGTGCAGCAAGATTAGACAAGGTGGGCCGGGGCCTGTGGGGCAGTCGGGGCCCCTGGGAGCAAGGGGGTTAGTTGATCAGGCAGTGGCTAGGCTGGATGAAGGGGGTGTTGAAGGCCGTGGAGCCCGTCCAGGTGGGGGTGGGGGGTTGGCCCGAGTGGACAGGCAGGTGCTGGGGTGCAGTGGCAGGAGGGGGGGGGTCTAGCTCGGGGTCTAGCAGCATTAGCCCATCCCCAGTTAGGGATCAGGGGGCTGGGGGAGCTAGGGGTAGGTCAAGACAGGACAGTTCCACCTCTGAGGGGTCGGACAGGAGCAGGGTCAGGGCCCCCAGGCATGGTCGGCGGGGGCGGACCGAACGCTGTGGGGGAAGGAGTCATAGTCCACGGGGCGGGGCCGTCCAGGCCTCTGGAGCACGGACTATGGGCACCACGCGGCGGGAGGCTTTGGTGACGGGCAGGCGCTCCCCGGGTTGGGGTGAGAGGGTGACAGGGGATCGTTACACCCTACCCAGGACATCTTCTCCTCATTACAGGTCTCGGAGCCGGTCATCTTCTGTGTTAGCTGGGCACCGGGTTGGCTCCCCGGTCGGCGGGACGTTAACGGAGGTCGCTCCTCCTGGACGGATTACAGTGGACAATGCAGCCCCCAGTGCTCGGAGACCGGGGGGCTTGGCCGGTGAGTCCTGTGCCTCGTTGCAATCCAGTACATTGATTCACACACTACAAACACTTCTCCACTCGCTGGGAGCGGGGGGTGACACGGGTGGCGGTGTAGGTCAGGTGTGGGCACAGGGGACAGGGGCCACGGGTGTTATCTCCGCAGAACCGAGTTCGAGCAGGGATTTGGGAGCGGCTGGCAGCAGGGCGGACGCAGCGAGTGAGCGGGCGGAGTTGGCTGGTGGGGGGGTCCCTGATGCGGCCAGACAGCACGCATACGTGTCGTCAAACAGGAGGTGAAAGACAAGATCTGGAAGGGCGAATTCTGTGAAATCTTTTCCCTTCTCCCCTTAGAGGAGTTTATAGACCTCAAGGAGTAAGATAAGAAAGACGAGAAAAAAGAGGAGGAGGAGAAAAAGAAGCGGTATCGTAAGATACCAAAATCTTTTGGCAACTGGCTAAGGGCGTTCTGCGTCCTGGCCAGTGTCCTAGGTGAGAAATCGCCGGGATTGTGCTCCTCCCTGTTTTGCTATTTAGACGGAATTTGGGAGGCATACCGCACCTACGGCGGGCTGTCGTGGTGGCGGTATGATGAGCAGTTCCGGCAGCGCTTGGCGGCCAATCCGGGTATGAGATGGGACCAA